TTTTTTAAAAAAAAAATCTTTATTGATCTCAGAGAGAGGAAGAGAGAGGAAGGGAGAGGGGGAGAGAGAGAAACATCAGTGTGAGAGTCACTGATTGGCTGACTCCTCACGCCCCGACTGGGGATCGAGCTGCAACCCGGGCATGTGCCCTGACTGGGAATCGAAACGCGACCTCCTGGATCCTAGGTCGATGCTCAATCGCTGAGCCGCACCCGGCCGAGCAGGAATTCCTTCCACAGTAATTCTGGCCAGGAGCTCCCAACTGGGCAAACATCTGGGAATTCCCGTTTCTCACCCCTCTCCTGGTCCTCAGGAAAGCCCGCGCTCACTCAAGTTAAACACTAGTGGTAGGACAAAGATGGAGCGGGCTGAGGCGCAAAGGCTAGAAAGGGAGCGACCCCTGGGTGCTTTCTTACTGCGCCTTCCTGACTGCAGGGGAGCTTCGCCGCCTCTGCTTCTAAGCCCTGCCGGTCCCACAGGTGCGAGGGGCCTACCTGCTCCCCATCCCCCACCCGCCACCCCGCCGGGCCTTCCCAGCCCCCGCGCCTCACCCGACTTGTCACTTTCCACCTCTTCTCTCTCAGCCGCCCGGGCCACCATTCTCCTCTTCCGCCTGCTCTCCTCAGGCCCCCGGGCTTCGGGGCCGCCGACTCCCACCTCGCTGGTCCCCGGCCGACGGCCTCGCTTCCTCAGGCCTCTGGCAGCGCCTTCACGCCCACCGGACGTCGTGGTGCCCGAGGGCAGTGGCCGCCGCATCGGCCCCACGCTGCCCGCAGCCCGCCCTACCCGCTGAGGAGCCCGCCGGCTGCGCCAAGACAGGGACCAGACGCCTGTCTTGCCGCTCCGCCTCGCCCACCCGCTAGGGCTGACCGGAAGCGGAAGTGGGCAGCGAGGCCCGGCCTGGGCATGCGCTCCACGCGCAACGTGTGGAAGAGCCGCTGGCGCCCTTTGAGGCTTCGCGGTATTGAGGCCTCGCCGCGGCCTGGGTGTGGCTCCGGGTAGCCCGGAGCTTTCGGAACCGTTCTGGGCTCGTCTCCCACCTGCTGCCCCTTATGCCCGGCTGCTCACAAAGCACTGGCAGCCAGTGCGTTCTAGTTGCACCCCAAGCCCGGGTCCCTTCCCATCTGCCCTCCCGCTGCGTTCCCTCAGGTGTCCCGTGGGTACCGCGGGCTCTGGCTGTGCAGACGGCGTCGTGCCTCAGGCTGGAGCGCGGCGGGGTCGCCACCTCCCCCCAGCCGGCGAAGCCGGAAGCCTGGGAACCCGCCGCCGCTTCTTTCCGCTCCACCCCGCAGCCAGGTTCCGTCTGCCCGATTCTGCATCCCGGGGCGTCCGCCACCCCCCCTTCGTCGTTACTCAGCGGGCTCTCGGGCGGGCTGACGGCGCCGGCCTCCAGGCGGAGCTCCCGCCGCCATCCTTGCGCTCTGTCGGCCTCCAGCTGCCGCCGGCCGTGCCCGCCTCGGGAACCTCCTGGGCCCAGACACTGAAGCTGAGGAAGCACCACCTCTTCAGTGTGGGGCCGGCGGCTCCGGGACGTGGTTCCGAGCGTTTAACGAGTTTTGTCTTACTGCCCAGGAGCCGCCCTGCGGCATCGCCCGATTCCGACTCTCCGGGACCGTTTTATAACTGTAAGCTGTACGCGGAACGATGCAAAGCGGTGGTCTCCAGACACGCGGGTTTGCCCCGCAGAAGCCCGACGGACTTCCCGCTGCGCGGGC